TGAGAGTATCAAAAAAGAGGGACCTCTCATACTCTGACTAGGGGGGATGCTTCCTTTCAGTGTGCTGGACAATTTCTTCTGGCTCCAGGAGCCTACACAGCCCACTTGGGAGGCCAATTACAGGGAGACATCCCAGTGGCCTGTTTCTTGACTCTGACTACCTTTCTTACTTGTTCCCTACCCCTCTGATGGGCAATTCTCCCTCAAAAACATTGGAAGACTCTCCCATTAGCTGTCTCCTGCATAATCTTTCCAAATTGGAATTAAAAGGAGACATTAAAAAATGATTAATATTCCACTTCTGTATGGCCCTAGACTCAATATAGGTCATGCTGGCCAATATCCTAATTTCTCAGACCTTGATAACTTCCTCCAGAGAAATGGCAAATGGTCAGTGGTTCCCTAAAGCCATAGCTTTAAGAAAAATATTTATTTATTTGGTACAGGATCTCACTACACAGCTTGGACTCATAGTGATCCTGTCTCAGCCTCCCCAGTGCTGGAACCACAGACATGTTCCACCACGCCCGGCCAAGGCCGGTGCACCTGGGGCTCTAGGGTGGGTACCACATGTAGTACCAGAAATCGAACCCAGATACTTGCGCTTGCCAACCAAGCTAACTCCCCAGCCCAGCCATGGCTTTTTCACCAACCTTCCCTCTGTCCTTCCCTCCAAATTATTTTCATTGAACAAAAACCTACCTGTACAACTAACCTACCCCAAACTCCTATTCCCATTCCTGCCAAACAACAGTATACCTTTACCCACCTCGATCCCCTGCCATATTGCCTCCCATTTTCCCAAAACATTTCCATCACTTGCTCTCCCTTCCTCCAAGCACACCTCTTCTCCAACATCCATCAGCCTGCCCACCTCCTCCAGTCCAACCCCCTCCTCAAATCTGCCTTTTTCTCCTCTTCAGGCACACTCTCACACTCTTTCTTCCCCTCTGATTCCTCGGAACACTTCTCTTTCTATCCTATGCCTCCATGAAGTAGGAGGGATTGAAATTGTTTGCATTTGTTTCTTTCTCAATTACTAATCAAGACCATTTCCAACAAAGAATAAGGTCCTTCTGGGGGCCTGGCCCTAGCTCAGTTCTTTAAGTGGCTGCTTCCACAATGCTGGCAGCCTCAGGTTGCTGTAGTTCATCCCCACAACACTCCAGCCAGCCAAAAGTGCCCTGAAGGCATTCGAGGAGAAAAAATAAATAAATAAATAAGGTCCTTCTCAGAAAAACCCAATGAAATGTAGAAAAAAATTCCTCCTACTCATTCAAATGTATGACCTCACTACAAAAGATATTTATCTTCTTCTCTCCTCCACCCTTACTGATGATGAAAGGGAGCATGTCTGGTGGGTGGCTGAAAAACCATACAATTGAGCTGCACCACCAACACACAGACAGGTGTGCTGAGCAGTTCCCAGGGCTGAACCCTGAGTGGACATATCAACTTAGCAACTATGCACAGCAGCCTGTGAAATAAAAACCAATAGGCTGATAAGGAGCCTCTGAAAAATCACCCAGGGGTCAGAAGAAAACCAACCCTCTTTATATAGCACCTTTCAGAGACCATGGTTAAATATACAAATATCCATCCCACTCTCCTGAACGTCTAATTCTTCTACATCTCTATTTCACCTCCTAATCTCATGTAGGCATCTGCTAAAGTTAAAAACTGGACCCCGAAAACCACAGAAGGAACTCATAAACCTTTTCTTAAAAGTTTTCAATAACCAAGATGAGGAACAGAGAATTCCTTTTTTTTTTTGGGTGGGGGCAGAACTGGGGATTAAACTCAGGTCCTTGCACTTGCCAGGCGGGTGCTTATTCTACTGAGCCATCTCCCCAGCCCCAGGAACAAAGAATTCAGAAAAACAAACTGAAGCCAAATATCAAATCCTGGGACTGGCCTGCCTAGTTTGACTCCTATATGAAAAACCTACCAGAGGCTCCACCTCCCACCAACCTATCAGTTGTTTACACTACATCAACCTGGGCCACTGGGCGAAGCTTGCTCTAAGGCCTCCTACAAAGCCATGTCCTAAGTGTGGACAGTGGGGTCACCGGAAAATGGACTGCCCTATGGGGAAGTCAGGCCTTCCTGAGTTCTCTCCTTTCCAGGCAACCCAATACATCTGGAGACCTGGTGACTTACCTTCAGCTGCCAATAGACGTGGGCCAGCCCCAAGCCCCCACTATGATATCATCAGTGGATCCACAGGTTCAATGCTGGTAGCCAGAAAGCAAGTTTCCTTTCTGGCTGACTCAGGGGCCAGCTTCTCTGTTCTTACTATTGGGGACATTTGCACCCCATCTCTATCTCAGTTGTTGGAATGAAGGGCTTGATAGAAATACCAGCCATGGGGCCTGGGAGATGGTTCAGCAGAATAGCACTTCCCTGGCAAGTGCAAGGGCCTGAGTTCAATCCCCAGTTCCGCCAAAAAAAAAAAAAAA